TTCTATTTCACCTCAGAAACATTATCAGGCTCAGTGGCGTGTCTTAATAACATTTCCTGAAAGTAGTGCTGGTAAATATCTTGCAGCCAGCTTAATCATGTGAGGCAGAGAGTGAGCGTCCTGGCTCCTGCTGTCTGCGCTACATCCAAGAAAATGAGCTGTTACAAAACATTTTGGATCGATTAAAACTACACAAAATTGGAAAAAAAAAATAAAAAAAATGTTACACAACTGGCAGTAATGGAGGACAGATTTCCTGTTTGGGATGAAATCCACCGTTACTTGATCTCGGGGAATGTGCTGCTGCTGGCTCGCGCCAAGCTGCTCGCTGCTGGGCTCCTCACACATCTGAATGGCCAAACACCTGCTCGTTCTGGCAAACTGTCAGTCTGAAAGCCCATCAAGGAACAGGAAGACATTTTTCACGAGCTACATTTTTCATGGTTTAAAAAGAGAAACCTTTAAAATTCATCCGCCTCCTCCCCCAGTGGAAGAGGAATAATTGTGCAACTGCTGTGTAGTTTCCAAGATGAGTTTTTTTTAAAAGAAGTCTGTGTGACCCAGTGTTTGTGTGGTGTTTTCGTCTTTATGTATTTCAAAGTCAACTACGACCACTGAAGTTTGTTTTACATGCTTTTATTTAGGCTCTAATGCGTCAGGAAAGGACAGAGTAATCATTATCCACAGAGCTTTTTCTTCTTCTCCAACATAGTAAAAGCATAAAGACATAAATATCAATGACATTACAATCATTTTACTCACTTGGCAGTCATTGTAGTGTAATCCATAAATCAATAAATAAAACACTTAGACATAAAAGTGCAATTTCATGGCAAAGGGAGGGACAATAACTGTTATGTGGGAGAAAACAATGTGTGTGGTTTGTTACATGTTTTATGCCTCACGCTGACTGCCAAGGTGGAGCGGAGTGATGTGGATGAATGTGTCAGAAACAATCGAGGCGAATAGGGTGTACGATGCAAAATCTCGTGACAGATTCTCTATCGAGAGGGACGAGGAAACACACATATTTGCCAGTTGAAACCAACATCTCAGACTTTCCTAAGATCTCAGACAGGCCTCATCTTCATCTGATCTCCTTAATACTCTCTGGATTTCCGTGTTTCTTCAGCAGTTCTAAGCAGATTTATGTGATTCTTTTAATGAGCAGGGATTTTGCTTTCCTTCCACTGTCGAGCGCACTGTGCCAAAGCTCAAGAGGCATCTTGTGTCAGCAGGCATGAGCCATCTCCATAGAAACATTATTGGCCATCCTTTGCCTGAGGTGGTTGGCAAAGTCCACCTGCGTCTGAGAGAGCACTTTGTTTATGATTGTCTTCGGGATCCAGCCCTGCAGACGACACAGACAAAGGTGTTAGAGTACAGTAGCTGCTTTTTACTTTTTAGTTCTTGAATACATTTGAATGCAAATATGAGTGGAAATTGTGCAAAAGCAAATATATACCTTTAGATCTATATTTAGTAACCAGGTGAACTTGGTCTTATTTGGGTCTTCAGCACAGGGCTTCATGACTATACAGGTAGGTCCATTCTCCGCTCTGAAACATGCAATGCAATGAATAAAACATCAGTTTTAAACGGCATTCCCATCCATCCATTACGCCAATGCACTTATCACAACAAGTAAACATTTCCTCTCGACTCACCTGACCACACCTCTCTGCTCCGGCATTTTCGGGTGCTGAGTGGACATTCCCGCCAGGAAGCAGGAGGAGCCCCGGCGCTTGGCACAGCGGACGCTGACAAAGTCCCTTGGTCCCACCACATTGCCGGGTGTCTCTGCAGACACCTCATGGGTAACCATCGTTTCCGGTCCGATCTTTTGAAGGATCTGTGCATAGTGAAATGATATAAATATATATATATGTATGTCTTGTATTTGTATGTGTTTCTCTCTCTCTGGTCATATTCCAACACCCTCGGTGCTGCCTCTCTTTCTTACCTTGACCTGTTTGACGTTCGGGTTCCACTCCCCCATTTGCTCCATGTTTCCCACCAGCTCTTGGTAAAGATTGTCAGGATGTTGCTCCAGCATCACCTCCAGCTTGAACACCTTCCCAATGTCAGGCAGCATCTTACTCAGGACTTTGTCTCCATTCGCCTGGGGAGAAGAGTATTCACATATTTTCTTTCACATGAAATATACAGTGGATAAATATCTATTCTCATCAGAGCTAGAGAGCCACACCTTTAACCATTCTGTGCATGCTTGGATGTGCATGTCTCTATACTTTTTTAGTTTTTGTTCTTTCGTATTTTGTTTGATTGATTGTTTTAATTTAATTGTATTTTCTGTGTAGTTTCTGGTTTTATTTCTCTATGATTTACTGTCTTTGCACTTATTGTATTTCGTGAAGCACCTTGTAACTCTGGTTTTGAAATAAAGTTAGTAGTATTATTATTATACTCACAGCCACAATTTCAGTGGTCCAGCCGTCCTGTTCACTGAGGATGCTGATGGCCTTTTGCAGCGCATTCTCCCCTTGCTTCACATAAGACATCTCCTCCTCGCTGTACCCCACCTCTTCCTGAATCCGAGAACCTAGAAACATACAGAAAGTAAATATGTTAGTCAACTTCCACTATTGTGTCCCTGTATTTTTAGGCTATATTTCACTGACATTTCTTCTTCTTTAAAAGCTCTTGAAATAAGCAGTTTCTGTGTGGTATTACACTTGAATTATCACATGTATCGACTCACTGAGAAGGGAGCTGCGTCGGCGGACTTGGCTGATCCAGTTGCTGGGGCCCGGACCTGCCAGTCTGTTCAGCTCATGGTGAATGGCCACCATGGCATTCTTCCTCAAACCTGGGAGACAGAGGCAAAAATAACACAGTTACTACACTTCTGAATCCATTCATTACACATACAGTATATCAAAAGGAAGGAAATCCCAAGAAAAGGTTAATTCAGTCACTCTGACTCTGGGATCCATGCAGAACTCCATTCAGATAATATGCGTTTTTGAGCATACAGTAAAAATAGGGAGAAAACTAGGCCAAGGATGCTGAATGTAGGTCTGAACAGGATTCTTTCGCTTACCTGTCATGTTCCTCATATGCCTGTAGGAGATGCCAGCACACAGTTTGAAGGTTGCAGGCAGCATTTTCCGTTATAGGAGTCTCTTGAAGCTAGAAAAAACAAAACTGAACCTAAACTAGAAAACTGTAAAAGCAAGTAGATCACAAAGATTCAATATCTGTCTGAGCTGTATATCTTCTTGAAAGAAGTGGACGAACCGACTGACAGTGCTGTAGAGAGGACTTGGGTTTCTGTCTGTAGACTTTTGAAAGTGCTGCATATATAAGAGCACTGCCCACAAGGCCGCAGTGCTATCACCGCTTAGATAAACACACACATCACCTCACTCTTCCAACGGCCATGTCACCAAGGTTGCCTGGCGGACACGACGAGCATGTCTCAGACTCTCACAAACACTGTGTCAGATAACGTCCAGTGCCCAGGCCCACTGCATTGCTCACACACACACACACACACACACACTAACATTCCCATACTAGTGGGCGACACAGGAGAGAGCAGCCTCTCCTCAATGATGAGAGGTCAGTGGGAGAGACCCTGAGTGACTCATCCATCCCTTCATGGTCCATTACAGCCTAAACACTCATTGGAATTTGAGGGCAAAAAAAAAATTCCTTTCAGTTTGGCTTGTTTTTTCCCCCGTTATGATTGATATCTTGGTATTAGCTCGAAGCATATCGCTAGTGTCATTATCACTGAGTGGAGCTATTAAACCTAATCTTCTGTTTGGCGTCCTGGAGAATTTAGGGCCTCTTTAACAGCTCAAAACAAAAATACTTAACGCTGTTTTATCACCTTGATACTCAATTCTTTCCCTTCATTTTATGAGAATTTCTTAGAAACGTGGTTTTGAACAGATGACATGTTTTAGACGTAGAAGAAGAAGCTTTGCTTTTAGCATATTTGGATTTCTGTCATCGGATTTTTATAACACTTCATAAAAGGTCTGACAGGAAGTCTAACTGACCCCAAACATAAGTCACATCACTACATAAACTAACATAATGTGATCCTCCAAGCTGTTGAACAACCTTTCAGAGGAGGTCAGGATGGCAAATTCTATCACTTCATTGAATTCTTTTCTTAAAAGCACATTTATAGTCTTGCCTTTCTGTGATCCTTCTTCTAACCTTTTATTCACCTTTTATTGTTTTATCCTTTTCATACCCTGTTAAACCAATTTTGAAGTTTATTATTATCATTATTATTATTATTATTATGTACATTTCATTGTCTGTGAATTACTTTTTAGCAGATAAAATTGATATATTTGTTCCTGTTTCAATCATATAATATATCAAAGATGAAATATTTAATATGTTTAATATGTATTTATCGTCATTTATCACCTTCAGCGAAGTTTGTGTCAATGGGAGCAGCTACCAGGTTAATATGGTTGATATTGTGATTATTAGTATTTTTTAATCACTCACTAGTTAAAGTAGGAACAAAATGTAAACTTGAGGTTAGAATTATATAATAAACTTTATTTCCATAGCACTTTTCTTAACAAGGTTACAAAGTGTTTTACAAAGAATAAAAAACAGTAGACAAAAACCCAAAATAACAATAAAAACAGCAACACAGACAACAGAAGAACACTGGACAGTGAAATGAAATGAAAATAGTAAAATGGTGGGTGGGAGGATGAAATCCAGCATTCAATTCAATATCATATTCATCATTTGCTATAAAGGATAGTTTTAAAGGTCCAGTCTGTAACACTTGGCAGAAATTGAATTTAATAATATAAGTATGTTCTCATTAGTGTATACTCACCTTTTATTTTATTTACAGTAGCACAGAATCAAACACTGGCTGTAAATAGGGCCTTAGACGGTCTTCGTGTGTGTCAAGGCCACCGTAGTTTCTCCTACACACTTCACAGCCCGTTCTCATTCCCGAGCCAAATACAGATGCGAGTGGTGTTCAGTTAGTTGCAATCTGCAACTTCACTGCTAGATGCCACAAAATCCCCTACACACTGGTCCTTTAAGAAGGGATGTAAACGCTAATGATGTCGCCTGTTTGATTTCAGATGATACAGTAAACAATTATGTACAGGATGCTCAGTCAAACTACCCTGTCAAAGTTAAAATAAACTACCCAGTGAGGGTTTAATATTGTTCAAAATGCAGCCCTGTCACTTTTTCCATAGCGGTTAGACTTGTCAAACACATCACATTTCATAATATGGACATTCAAACGTCAGCTTCATGACTCATGACTCACGTTTTTCCAAAAGGCTTCCTCAATCGTCAAACAGCACACCATGATCTGTTAATAACATGTTTTATCAAGCCGCTCACATGTTTTGACAACCTTGCTTACTCCGTCCAAGCAAAATCCAAACTATCTAACAGCAACATTGCCTCAGCGAGCTGCACGTCAAACGTGCGCTCAGAGTCAACAATGCACATGACCACAGGAATGGAAACCTGTCAAGAGGGTGGCAGGCCATCTGATTAGTGAACGGCAACATGCACAGAGAAAACAGGACCAGATTAATAAATCCCAAAGGCAGACTGAAGTCACCTTAACCTGCAACCTTGCGTTCCTCTTTCTGGTTGGCAGCAATTATCCATCAGTCTCTCTGGCCTTCTGCAGGGTGAGTTCTCTCATTTACCATGGGAACACACAGGCCTAGTACTATCTGACCTATTATTACTCAGCCACAGTAGACAGAGCAGACACCCATGTCTCTTGTACTGTAAAGCTGTTTTATTTTCCTGACAAAGAATTGGCCATTGGGCCCAGTGGGTCATATGGCCGTACTTGACAAGAGCAGCATTATGTTTTAATGAGCCTCCGTCCTGGGGCAAACTGCAGCTCTCTAATGTTTAAGAACCTGAGGAAGGTTAAAGAGTCTCTCCTATTAAAAAGTGTCTCTGCTTTTCTGTAAGTACTTTAATTTTTGATGTCCAGACAGTGGAATCATTACTAAGTAATCATGTGTATTATAGTTTTACAGGCCCCAGAGACACTGGGACACTTCACTGGATAAAAATGACCTGTATCCAAATAGATCCAATGACATCCAAGTTTATGGAAATGTATCCAGATCTGTATATCATATCATAGATCCAGTCTATAATATTCTGCATCTGGACAATATCTGTCAATACACAAATGTATCACCACCTTGGATACTACCAGATGTTTCTGCATTTATTCCAGTGCATTTTGATTTTTTTATTCTTGACTCACATTTCACCTGCATTTAATTATAATAAAGGTTTGTTCAGCACTAAAAAAGCCTTCAGAAAATGATTATTTATTTATTTTTCAGTAGTTGTAAGTTATGTATGTACATACAACAAGTGCACACTTCTATATTCTGACACCTGTAAGCTGCTCATAGTTATGATATCATATATTTTGTGTTGTCAGGAGCTTGTCTTGTAATTATGTAAATTGTTATGGTGCATTGTCACACTGTAAAGCTTTTTGTGGACCCCATGCAGAAAAGCTTCTGCAATGCTGTAGCTAACTGGGAGCCTAATGAACTAAACTAACTCCTTTATTCAGATTCCATGAAGTAGGTGCCTATGTTTTATCCCACGAGTCGGGCAGTGATGGCATTCATTTGCAATGTAATGGACTCTGATTACAACTTTTTAGCTCCATGGTGCATGTGTAATGAAAATATTATCTTCTTGCAGTAGATGTGGAGTTATTCAGTTAATATATTTACTTGGAGACAGTGACTTTCTCACAGGATAATGTTTTATAAAGTACAGTCAAAGCAAAAATACATTATGAACTTCATGGGGCTTAAACTGTCTAGGTTTGTCAAATCTATTGAGTATCTTCCAAAGTTATAGTGTTTTTAGTTTGAAATCCCCTCTTTGTGTTTCTTTACTGAGCTGGGGAGTGATTTTTGTATTAAAAAGTAGCTTTAGAAAATATCCTCTGTTTATCTAATGTCATATCAGCTCTTGCTGAATTTCTTTTTTAAACATATTTCACACTGTGGATCTTGTCCCAATGCTCTTATATTTGAATCATGTTATATAAGGATCTCAGATAATAGTTTCAAAGTGCACTTATAATTATCTGTAGGAGAATACAGGCTTATAAAAAGAAATATTTCTGATTCATGTCTCCTCCTGTTATATGGTCATGTTATTACAGTATTGCAATATACTGCAAAACTAGTTTTTTTTATTGTGCCACTATAAAGATAAGAGCTTAGCAGTCTACAAGAACTTTAACACAATGGTGAGTAGGACAATGTTATCTCTAATCATTTAAATGTATTAGAATAGGAACAAGGAAGTGTTCTGTGGCCACATGGACAGAGGAGACGAGGAAATAAAGAGACAGACATACTGAGGATTACTCAAACTATAGCACAGAGTTTATTGGGACTTGAAGGACACAGTGGGTTTGGCTTTCACATGCACTCAGCACTCTGCTGTACATCACATTAAGAAGGAGAATTCCCTCACTGACTTTCTCCTCTCCATCCTCAACTTTTTCCTTCCCTTCCCTTCCAACAAACTGCGAGTCTGTGTGTATTTGTGTGTTGACGCGTTCCCCAGAAAACAAACAGAGCACGACAGTCAGAGAATACACAAAGTGCTGATGTCTGTGTGGGCATTGTCTGGGAGATCATGCTAACAAGGAGGCACTTCAGTCTGATTCAGATTTTTTTTCTTTTCATATCAAGTACGTAGAGAAAAGAAGAAAAAAAAAACAGGCTTGTGTCAGATTGGTAAGGACAATTAAAATTACTGCATGGACCAGCTTTCACTACCTCAAATAGGCAAATACCACATTCTTAAAAACAAGCAGAAGAGATTGAGCTCCCCCTCCCTTTTAATTGTCTGTGCTGCTGCGAGAAGGCCACTTCTTTGTGTGGTGTTTGCAGGATCCTCTGGCGTCTTCCTCTCCTCCTCCGCTCTGACATGAATGAACTGGAGCGATTAAATAAAAATTCAGATAAGGTAAAACCTTTCACGTAGCTATTGATACCCTGTGTCTTCGGTCATGGTCGGACACAAAACAGGAGGAAGACCCTTTAGATTTGTGAGGCATTTTGAAGAGCATAAGTGTAAAGGGGCAAAATATAAAAAACCTGTACATGTAACAACAAACAGCTATGCAGCAAGATTTTTTTTTTTTAAATGGAAAAGGCATAAGGAGAACAAGAACACTTTAGTTTTGGATGTAGAAAACAAGCGGAGCGTGACAGTATCAATACAATAATGTGCCTTCATGATCAGAGGTAAAAACATTTTCATTTGGTGAAGAAACAGCATGACATTATTTGAAATTGTGCAACTTGTAAGTCAGGCTGAGTGCATGTGTTCCTCTCCTCTCCATCGGGGGACTGTGCAGAAAATTGAGCAAAAAAAAAAAAAAAAATATTAACTAAGGGAGAGATTTCTGTTTCTGTACATCATATTAATTTGTTTTTCAAAACTCCACATAATGTCAAATATAAAGTGACACTGTAAACCGAGGGAGACGTCTCTGTGTTGTACGCTATACTATGGAATGAGGTATGCAGAAGCGAAAGGGATACAGCTGTCCATACTTACACTTGTCCATGCAATGAAAACACAACACGATTCTCACGATTCAGTCTGTGTATGTCTATCCTGTATGTATGTATGTATGTATGTACTGTATGTGTGCTTTAAGCAATATGATATGTATGCAGGCTCATATTTAGAGAAAGTGTATAAAACGGATCACGCACTCTGATCCTCCTCTGGTTCTAAACGACGGCTGAAAACCTTCAATAAAATCAACATGACAACGGTATCACAAAACTAAACTGTAATCTTTGGCCTGAGTGTACACAAAGGCAATGTACATTATGTGTTGAGGTGATGTGTTCTGAATGTCTAGGAGTGATCTGAGGTATGGGAAGTGGAAATACAGAGAAAGAATAAGTTATTGTTGAGTTGTACAGGTGTGGTGACAGATGGATAGGTGGAGAGAAACGGGTACAAGATACAGGCCAGAAAGTAAAGGACTGAAAAATTTGTGAAAAAGAAATTCCTTTTCTGGAAAAATTCACCAAGACCCCATCTTCTATTCCCTGTGGTGGTCTTTATTATACAGTGGATCCCCTGAATATTAGCTTGTTTTCTATCCTTCTCGGTTTTCATCAGCGTCAGTGGCTCTGTTCTACAGTCCAACAATCCTGAGGGTAAGTAAGGTTTGTCCGAATATTTCCAAACGTCTCTGACCATCCCACTACAAATGCCCGGGGTCTCAGGGCCTGGTCAACCCCCCCCACCCCCCCCTTATGGGCTGACCATTTAGGCTTTTAGACAGGCTGTCTCCGGCTGCTGCTCAGGCCCCGGCAGTGGACCAATCAGCAGCGGGGAAGCCCCTCGGAGCTCCTTCCCTTTGTGTGTGTGTGGCTCCCACACTGCCACTGTGCCACTAGGGGGCAGAGTTGGACATGGAGTCCACAGAGTTTACACTGGAAGACTGCACACGGCTGTGGGAGATAGAGACCTCTGGGTGCTGCAGCAGAGAAACAGAGGAGTCGATTTGTTAGTTTTGTATTTAGTCAGTGTTTGTGTGTGTGTGTTTGTATGTTTTGGTGTGTGTTGTGTGTGTGTGTGTCTTTGTGTGTGTTCCCTTACATGTCTCCTGAAGATCCTGTCCAGCAGGCTGCGTCTGGGCGGCTCTGGTGGCTGATTCCAGTCCAGATCTGGGGGTCTCGTCCCTTGAGGCCCAAACACATTCAAATCTCTGAAACACTCTGTTTCAATCATCTGAATGAGAGGAGAGGAGAGGAGAGGAGAGGAGAGGAGAGGAGAGGAGAGGAGGAAAGGACAGAAGATAAGAAGAGAGGATGATAAAATAGGGGAGGGAAGGAAAGGACATGAGGATAGGAGGAGAGGAAAGTAAAGAAAAGGAAATATGAGAGGAGAGGAGGACAAGAGATAGAAGGAAAGGAGAGAAGAACATAGGAGATGAGATGATATGAGAGGGGAGGAAAGGAAAGGATATGAGGAGAGGAAATAAGAAGAGAGGAGAGCAGAAGAGGAAAGGAAAGGAAAAGAAAGGGAAAGAAAGATGTGAGAGAAGAGAAATTTGGGGAACTTTGTGTGAGTTCTTCCAGGAGTTATACAAACGGCACCGAGCATTTAAAAATGTCATATTAAGTGCACACACTTACCTCATTCTGCCATGGGATGGAAACACAGCCTGTAGCAAATTTGGAGTAGAAGTCATTGTCAGTTTGGTCCAAATTTACTCCCTTGACTGTGGAGAACTGCTCTATGTCCAACACGTCCTTACAGTACACTGCCCGGGGCTGGGAGAGGGCAACGACCACGAGAAAAGAGGGTTGAGAGGAAAAACAGGAGACAAGTTTATCGTAACAGATAATTTATCATCATGGAATTTCACTTGCTGACATTTTTCATACAGCGGCCATTTTGGACTATTTTCGGTTAGCGAGAGGATTAAAACTAAAGGTCTTTACGAAGAGTTTCAGAACATGTTTTGGCAGAGTGGATTGATTTATGTACTGTAGTGTAAATTACTCACATCAGGCACAAAGGGAGGCTCCACTATTCCAGCCTCCAGCCTCTTGAAGTTGATGTTTTTAAAGAACGAGTGGGCCTTGACGCCCGCTGCTCCGTCCGCCAGGCACCCCAGCCTCTGCTTAGGGTCTTTGGTCAGCAGCTGGGTGAGCAGCAGCAGAGATGACTCAGCACATTATTCATCAGTTCATCCATCTCTCCGCACAAAAAAATGTTCCCATCAATGCTCACCATTCTACAGATGGCCTTGGTGTCCTCTGTAAACTTGTCGTTGTACTCCTCCTCTTCCTCCTGCACCCTCCTCTCCACCTCTTCCCGCTTCACTCGCTCTTTGCGGGCACGGAAGGGCGATCGACCGGCGGTCATCTCGTAAACGAGGCAGCCCAGCCCCCACCAGTCGGGACTCATGCCGTATTTTTCATTGTTTATCACCTCCGGAGCTAGAGAGAAAAGGAAACGGGTTGTTACGGTTAAAAATTTAATAATTAATCAGGTAAATTTACTCCTGGGATCGTTGATTACTGTGTTACTCACCCATGTAGCCCACAGTCCCCACCCTGCCTCTGATGGGTTCACCTTCAGGCACTTTGATGGCCAACCCCAGGTCAGAAATACGGATGTGTCCTGCAGCGTAACAGTGGTCAGCATGAGCATGATACATTTCATTTATTCAAAGTTTAGTGGATTGTGTAGTTTGAAAGTGTGTATCAGCAGCAAAAGAATGCTGTGTGATGCAATAATCAGAAATTGAAGCTGATGAAGTTTCAGAACTCACCATTGTCATCTAATAGGATATTCTCCGGTTTCAAATCCCTACAAATAACACAGCATGTTAAAAAAACAATGTTCAACAAATAAGAAAAGTATACATACACACTTGATAATTTAAAGAATATGAAAACTTGATTCAAGAAAGTCTTAAAACTCAATAAAACAATCTGAGCAGTGAAAGTTTGAAGGGTTGTGAAAAGGTTGTGATGCATTTTTGGTGAAACAGCGTAGTCAGGGTTAAGATTAGCAGCCTAAAGGTAACTTTATTGTGTTTTCTCCACTGGCAGTCACATTTTCTCCACTGGAAGAGCAACCTTAGGTTAACTTTATTGGGCTTTGTCCACTGGAAGGACACCCTAGATGGCACTTCATTCATTTTTTTTTTACCACTGGAAGGGCACCTTAGAGGGTACTTTTTTGTGTTTTATCTACTGGAATAGCATCATAAAGGGCACTTCATTGTGCTTTTTTGTCCCCAAGACCACCTTAGAGGGGACTTTAATTTTGTTTTCTCCACTACATGGGCACCCCAGAGGCCACTTTATCATGTTTTATCTACTATGAGGGCATTCAGAAAGGGTGCTTTGCAGCAATCGCCCATGTGTCCACCAGTGAGTCTAAGAAGGTAACTGAGCTGAACTACGTCTCATTGCGCTATAAGAGAGTTACCTGTAGACGATGGATTCTCTGTGCAAATGTTCGAGTCCACAGGAGATCTGAGCAGCGTAAAACTGGACCCTGTCTTTCTCGAAGCCCGGCGTGCCCATGTTGTAGATGTGAAACTTCAGGTCTCCACCGTTCATGATGGTCAGCACCAGACACAGAGCGTCTTTGGTCTCGTATGCATACGCTAAGCTCACCTAGAAAGACAGGGGAGAACATGATAAATGGTATGAGGCCGTTACACGTACTGTAACACAAACACTCTTCTATTAGGTTTACTCACAACAAATCTACTGTTGACTTTCTCTAAAATCTGCTTCTCGTTAAGAGCCATGGACTCTCCTTTCCTCTTCTTTATCCTCTTCTTCTCCAGCTTCTTGCAGGCGTACATCTTCCCTGTAGCTCTGACCTGGCAGGCACACACCTGAAAATAAAACACACATTAGTGTCAACCAAATCCCAATTAACTTTAAGCACCACACATCCATCACTGTCATCATAAACTTACCTCTCCGAATCCCCCCTTCCCCAGCACTCGGTACTGTCTGAACGTGTCTTTCGTGATCGGTTGCCTGACAGAACACAGACACAGCAAAATCCATTAATAGACGCTCATATAGTATTGATTAGGAGGGAGATATTATCTGCGGAACACAATACCATCCTGAGTCTGTTTCCTGTACAGAGGGTGGGGCCTCCTGTACGCAATTTCACTTTCCAGACACGGATACAATCACGGCTGCTCTGAAAGCCTGCTGTTTACTTCTAACTGCCTTTGATATGCACTCTGCATAAAATATTTTCCTGTCTGGAGTCATCATGCTCCTCCTCAGTGTCTCCGAAGTGAAGTGTGATTCTAGTCCAGTCAAGTTCTTTCACCTGCCAGTTGTTTGTTTCTTTAAAGTGGTATAATGTTGTGGGAAATTACATCTGAAAGAGTTATTCCACATGTTCAAATCAGAGGTGGAATTTAACAAAGTACACTTGGTTGCACTTTCGTATTTTCCTTCGATGCTACTTTATATTTCTAGGAAGAAATATTGTACTTTTTACTCCGCTGCAATGCTTTGACAGCTATATTAGTTAGTATTTACTTTGCTGATGGGATTTTATACAACAGTAAAGTATCTGAATACTTCTTCCATGTCTGGTTAAAATGTTACTGACCTTTAATGTGTTGCTGTAAAGCTGTTGTGTTATCTGTTCTTTTCAGATCCGTAAAATGTTGTTTTTGTTGCTGACTTTTGCTATTTCAGCTTAAAAGTCACCTCACCAATAAAGAGATATATATAAGCAGAACTCCCAGAGGCAGAAGTGATAATTGTTATTGTTTAGCATTGTTAAAGGCAATTACACTGAGTGGCCACTTTTTAGGTACAGCTGTACAATCTAATGAAATCCAATATAATCTTTTTTTTTTACACTGTCATAGAGGCATTATATTGAGATGTGTTTCTAATATTCTGCCTCGTTCATTATGTCAATAGTGAGGACAAAATATTATTTAGTTATTAGTATTTATATTGTATTTTCAGGACCCCAGACAGACTAAAGGCACATACATGTGGTTTTAATGAGGACCCTTAAAGGTCCAGTGGGTAACATTTAGGAGGATCTACTGGCGGAAATGGAATATAATATTTCTAGGTATGTTTTCATTAGTTTATAATCACCTTAATATAAGAATTGTTGTGTTTTTGTTACCTTAGAAAAAGCTGTTTTTTGAAGTCTGAAATGTTTCTACAGTAGTCCAGAACGGAACACTCTAGATAGGGACGTTTTTTGAGACGAGTTTTGTGGTCACCGTAGTTTCTCCTACACACTTCACTGTCCGTTCTCACTCCCAGGTTGTCAAATACAGACATGAGCAGTGTTCAGTTAACTGCAATCTGCAATTTCACCACTAGATGACACTAAATCCTAAACATTGGTCCTTCAAATAAACAATAAACAACCTCAATAATAACCGTATAATTGAATTTGCACATTCCTGACAATGTAAACAAAAACTGCAATCTATAAACTTTGTAAAAGGTAGAATATAACTATAAAAGGTAGAATATATGGCAGAACTGTTGCATTATTGAATTAGATTGTACAGGTGTGAATAATAAAGTGGCCACTGAGTGTATATGATAACTCCCTTCATTTGTATTAGATTTTATTAGTGCTAGATTAAAGTAGGCTTTATTAGGCTGCAAATGTCACATTAGATGCAACCAGTAACTGAAATTAAATCAGAAAAACACGATTTCAATAATAAACCCATATACGTCAACTTGTTAATTTACATGACATGACTCAACAGCTTTCATTAACTTATTTGCATACCTCTCCAGCATCTTCCACTGCAGGAATCGGTCAAAGTACATGCTGTTCTGGAAGTCAGCGAACGGAGCTCCTCTCAGGTAGTCATGGACGGCCCTGATCCGACACACACACACACAAACACAAACACAGCAGGCTCAGCACAAAACAACTGAGAATATTATTCAAGCTGAAATTCACTTAGCAATATCTGTGCTGTTTGTTTCCATACATAACATGTATGGTATAGGTATAAACACAATAGAGAGAGCAAATACAGGTGAGAGTCCAGCAGACAGGTGAGAGGGAATAAAGACAGAGTGGACACTCACTTGCGGCAGTTGCTGAAGATCTCCTTACATGGACTGAGCTCGAGGTTCTCTCTGCACTGGTCTGCAAAAACCTCTGCTATGTCTACAGGCTGAGGTGACTACATCAACACACGTAAACACACACGGTGACATATGCGCACACACACAAATACATTACTTTTTATTACACGCACTACATCAGAGTAAGAAGAAACACGCATTACTTCTCAGAGAATAGCACAGTGACAATACATTTTTATTTCTGTACATTTAACGAGTACATTGTGGGTGTTTGGGAGGTTTTCGTTTAGCTGTAACTCAACATTATTGTCCGACCACAAGTTTTAAACATCAGTTACTGTAAAATGTCTAAGAGGAAGAAACTTACTTGTTTGGAGAGAAACGTCTTGATGATCCTGTCTCCGTGACTTTTTCTTTTTTCATCAGGCGTCACCTCATAGTCTTCCTAAACAACAAAATAACATCATCACATTAATGGCTGCACAATATGGTAAAAGACATCATATTGCAATTATTTTGATAGATACTGCGATTGCCATTAGTGGGATTGATCATTTTTGTGTCCCAATTTTCAATTTTGCTGAAAAATCTATTAAAATCCTACTGATGTGACATTTATAACAACTTTAGGGTTTCATGGTTGTGAATTATTTCCCTGGCTGGTGTTTATCCTCCTCCACCGTAACCTCAGGACTCCTCCAATGCACTGTTTGACCTCTAAACTTAAACCGAACTGAATATAATAACAACTTACAAACATTTCTAACTGCAGAATTTTTGACTTATTAAAAAGACTTGGAAGTGGTACCTACAGTATATAAATAGAAGCACCAAGACCAGAAATATACTTTTGAAGTGGTAGAACAGAATTAATTAGAAGAAAAAAAAACACAATTTCTTACATAAAACATTAAATAATTAGGAACTTTGTCTGTGAACTAATCACAAAATATAACCTTGACAATCTGTACAGAAACGTCCTCTGACATTAGACCCGAGCTCGATTTGGATCGAGGAAGTAAAACCAAATGGAAAAAAATGCTAAACACAACTCAAGTGTTTAAAAACCAGAAGAAGTCTGCTGAGATGAAGGACAGGTTACTTAAATGTGTATCCTCTTAAATGATCCTGAGGATGATTTAGGATCCGGTTTCTGACCAGAGGGACTCAAACCGGATCCTGAGCCCCCCCTCATCTCCTCTCTCTCTCCATCTCTGATTTAAAAAAAAACAAAACTTCTCTCAAAGTCTCTCTCTGCCTAAGGAAAAGAAACTCCTCTTCATTCGCGGTTTAATTTGTATGATGGAGTAGCTGCTGTTTGGCGGTGACGAGGCCACAGCACACCTCTCACCCTCTGCGCCTCTGTGTGTCGCCGTCACTCTCACATAAACATATGCTGCTCTTGGCTCCGTGTTTGCACATACGAAGCCGTTGACACAAACAGGTTTGGCCGTCACGCGCTCGACATATTGGACATCTCAACATGAAAAGCGCTCTGACGCGTTTCAGTCGCCAGCACTTTTAACCCTGTCAAAAAAAGGAGGGAAGCAACATGGCGCTGGGTGCTGCACGCTGGTCCTACTCTTTCTATCAGTGGCTTTTTTCCAACATGGCCTTGTGTTGCCTGGCAACCTCACAGTAAACACGGCGGGATTCCTTGAGGTCCTGGAGTGTCACAGTGTGTCACACCAGCGTCACCAGCTTTCCACTACAAAACACACACACACACACACACACACACACACACACTCACATATATATATATACAGTACATATACACATAAGCCCCAAGCTTAAGGAAAAACAGGCTTTAAAAAGCAACAACGTCACTGACACTTCAGAACAAAGCCAAAAGAAGTCCGGCAATAAATACATAACTGTATATAAATGTAAATATATAGGAGGACTCAGAGAGAGAGAGAGAGAGGAGGGAGAGTGCGAATTGTGATTGCTGCCAAGTGTTGATTAACTGAGGCTTTGTTATCAGAGGCTCCAGAGAAATCACACACACACACACACACACGCACACAGAGTAAATGAGCTGTCTGAATCCCACCCTTTGCCGGTGGGGGGTCAGCCAAAGGGGAAAAGAAGACGCCCCTTTAGCCTTTTGGAAGCAGAGGGGATCCAACACCCACACCCACATAAAACTGAACGCACAAACACCTTCTCATGATGTAAGAGGAACCACTGGAACCCCCGAGCACATTCCTTCCCTCTGCTGCACACATACACACACACACACACACTCCCTCTTCCTCCAAAACGGTCATGTTCATGCGTATACACTCCTCAGAGTCACACATACACTCATGTTCCCTCGAATTGATCACCGTTTCTGAGGTAGTTTTGTACTTTTTTGTAAGGTTTCAGTGACACAACTGTTTCTAGTGAACCTGCACATGAGTCATGTGTTATTTAATCACTTTAAACACAAGCACCTACCTGTCTGTGTAATTTATGATTTATTTTATTGTATTTTTTTAATGCAACAGAAGTATTCTTGTAAAATTGCTTGTCTATTCACTTCTTGGAATTTGCCTTTCTCTGTGGTGGGAGGGTGAAGGTTGGGGATGGAGTTAATGCCCATTATTCCTACTTTCCATTCTTCTCATTTTATTTATGTCATATCTGAGCTTTCTTATTAAATTTTTCATGTTGTATATGAAAAATACAATAAATATATTCTCCAAAAACACAAGCACCTGCCTGGTTTATTGTCAGTAAAGTGTCACTGGGTGAGCGTGGCCACAGAGTCCGTCACATGGGCTGCAGAATTAGCGCCAACATGTGCTTGGGATGAATGCGTGTAAGTGGTTTCCCCCTCGCTGAGGGTGGCGGTCACTTTTAGGGCTTGGTGGTTGAAGGGGGCAAGAGAAAGGGAGGGACGGGGGTGTTGGGATTGGAAGGGGGGGTGTGGGAAACAATGCTGTCCTTTCTGTCCCGTCACATGTCCGCAAAGATATTCTGGGCATAGATAAAGACTTAAATGTGTCATGTGGGAGGTATTCCGTCTAGACACAGAGAGAGAGAGATTGGAGATGGAGGGGGGACAACAAGCCGGGTGGAGGGGAGGGGGGGAGCTGACTGGTTGAATAATCACTACTCAGTTTAATTGTCTCCTCTGGCTGCGTGACCCAGCATCGGCTACGGGCTACGCTGTAATGAAAGTGAGTGCATTGAAAAAGTGGATGAGTGTTTGTTTTCTAGACCTGCATTCAACCATGAAACAGCGCTGCAACTCTGCCACTCTTAATACACCTGGGAACGCTGGAGGAACTGACCGTTAGCTAAGCCCCTCACCTGTTGCTGTTACTGTATGGCTGTTGCTATGTTATTGTTGCTACACCTGTCAGACTGTGGTTTACAATAATGGGGACAGATTTGCTGCTCAAACTTCACAGTGACAACGGGTTTTCGATTTCACACTGAAGTGGTTAAAAGTAGGTTTCTCATTTATAGCTGACATACATTTTATCAGCTGTAGCTGGCTGGCATACACTAATGCAAATACTGTGAGTTGGTTGAAATCTCTGTCTCAAGCTTAATGTTTAAATTAGTCCTGTAACTTTATTATATAATATGCATATGGTCACTATATTCATTATAATGCAAAAACTGAGGCTAAAGCTAAATGTCCCACACAAAGAGTCAACATCAGCTTTAGATTCAGAAAAGAGAATTTGAGGATGAGGATAATTGATGAATTATGACAAATAATAAAAGCCCAAAACATAATCTTAAAAAAAAGAAGAAACCTGGGTGAAGTCATAGACATAATAGACCTAATTTTTAATTATACAGTCTAAAGTTAGAGCAGATAAACAGAGAGATATCTCTCTTATTAGAACACCATTTAGCAACTGGGGAAATACAAACCTTAATAGGCCACCCATTACTAGTTCCAGTTGCCAAGTGTAAGAGAACTCTCAATTAGAGGTTAAATTCTTTGTTTACTGACGCTTTTATGGTAATTATTTAAAGGAGAAAAAGAGAGTTGATTGTTCATTTTCCTGGGGATATTCCGGGATTCTTAATGGCAAACTTCTGGTTAACACACGCCCACTTAGTGTGGTGTGTGTGTGT